CTGGAGTATTTTCTGTCAACGGAAAATATTATAAATGGAATATTGATTAATAAATTGGTAACATGGAGATAAGCCTCATGTATAAGTGATATTAAGTGTTGGAGATACAAATATTAGAAAATGCTTTCTAATATTAACATAGTGCTATGGACTCATATGTCACTACATAAGCTAAATCATAGAAATCTTTAGTGTTTATTTAGGCTACATTGAGTCTGAGGAACTTCTGAAGAAACAGGAGAAGGAGACGGCTGGAAGGTTTTGGATGTAAATGTGTGAATGTAGTTGAGCAAGTCTGTGATACTCACATTTCAGGAAGTCCTCTCTGGTCTTTGGTTCAGGTGACTGAAGGATTTGTTGTGGTTTCTGCCAAGTAGCAGGCGTCATGGATGAAGATACAATCCCTGAAAATGCAGGAAAATCTTAGAGATCAGCCAGAAAGCAAAATCATACACTGATGTGAAGCCAGTGTGGTAAAGATAAAGTGTAGAGTGATTGTGAAGGAGCTCAGTGTGATGGACAAACCTACACACTTAAAAAAGATTATTTACTAAAGAAAATTGGTTTATATACAGCCAGTAACACTCAAAGAACCCTTTGCATGCAGGGTTCTTCGCATCATGAACAGGTTCTTCAGACTGATGGAGAATGTGCTGTAGATGGTTCTGTATAGAAACTTTCTAAAAAGGGTTCTATATAGAACCAAAAATGTTTTTTATTGTAACAATGTCAAGCTTGTAACTATATATGTGCTATACAGAACCCTTTTCAAAAAGGTCCTATATATAACCTACTACTGCACATTCTCCATCAATCTGAAAAACGCTTTCACGATGCAAAGAACGCTTTAATCATGCAAAGGGTTCTTTGAGTGTTCACAGTCCTATATAGAACTATTTTCTTTACTAAAGAACCCTTAAAGAACCATCATTTTTAAGTGTGTAGATGGTAAGATTAGGTATTGGTTGTAAAGTAAAATTCTGTTCTATTTCGTCAGACCATATTTTTCACTGAGGCTCAGAAAAGAGTAGCCAGTGGTCAGTGGAATATCTAAACACATTATAGTGACAAATCTTTGTTTTAAACGTGTTGCTTGGTGTCATGAAGCTCTAATAAAACTAAAGTTTGTTCTATAAGAAGTCATGATTGAAGTCATCATGATTGTTGTCTGTTTTCTAGCCTTGGATTTGTGAGGAACTGAGCCAAATCTAACATTAAATGAATTTATGGACTATTGAAAATGAAAAAGATAAAGCAGTCCAATTCTCTTCTTTTGGATTAATCTTTTCACATAATTCATTCTACCTCCAGAGAACTTGACTATTTCTGGTTTCACTCGTTCCATCACTCCAGTCACAGCTTTCTTCAGGTCCTCCATGGAGAACTGTGGACTGATTGTGATACGGGGTAAGTCTGCAGGTTGAGGAGGAGCAGAGAGAGACTGGAAACTCTGCAGAGAGATGAAACACACAGATGGAGATTTCTAGATAAAACGGCCGAAAGAAGGTAAATCCACAGCACTTCCAGTGGAAAGGCTGACACGCCTTCTGTAGATGATCAGAGTCAGTGATGTTACCTGGAGGAAATGGATGTGATCCTCTGAGTGTGAAAGCTGCTCCAGCTCAGCGTCTCTCCTCCTCAGATCAGCAATCTCCTGCTCCAGCTTCTTCAGGAGCTCTTCAGCCTGACTCAGTTCAGTCTTCTCCTGAGCTCTGATCAGCTCTTTCACCTCAGAGCGTCTCCTCTCAATGGACTCAATCAGTTCAGTAAAGATCTTCTCACTGTCCTCCACTGCTGCCTGTGCAGAGCGCTGTTAGGAGACACACAGAGAGGAGGGGCTTCATCTGAAGCAGCTCTTTCACTGACTTCTCCACAGTGGGGCTCAGTGGGGCTAGAAAGTGGGCTTTGTTTAATTTGACATTCTTTTCCTAATGTTATTAATAATGCTATTGGTAATTATTTTCATAATGACAGCTAATGTTTTTCTTGGACTTAGCAAGACAAGCAATATTAGCTTTACTTAATTAGCTAAATATCCACACCAATCATTTAATTTATTTTATATTACTCAGGCAAATCTTACACATTTAGTTAGTTTAGTTCATGCTACAGTCTGCCAGCCAGGTACTTGGCTTGGCACTTTCTAGCTTGCTAACATCTAACAAGTTGTTAGCTCTTATTAATATTTAGCCATTGTTTAAAAGCAGGGTGGCACGGTGGGTAGCGCTGTTGCCTCACAGCAAGAATGGCCTGAGTTCGATTCCCGGCCGGGCGACCAGGGTCATTTCTGTGTGGAGTTTGCATGTTCCCCCCATGTCTGCGTGGGTTTCCTCCGGGTACTCCGGTTTCTTCCCACAGTCCAAAAACATGCAGTCAGGCCAATTGGACACACTGAATTGCCCCTAGGTGTGAGTGTGTGTGTGTGAATGTGTCTGTCCGTCTGTCTGCCCTGCGATGGACTGGTGACCTGTCCAGGGTGTATCCTACCTTCTGCCCAATGACAGCTGGGATAGGCTCCAGCACCCCACCGCGACCCAGAAGGATAAGTGGTTTAGATGATGTGTGTGTGTGTGTTTAAAAGCATATAGTTTGAGACCGAGAGGGCACGATAATATCCTCACTTTCACAGCGAAAAGTCGAATGTGTGCATTTTATAAGTTCTCAAAAAATAGGAGAAAGAAACTAATTCCTGTGTTTGGAATTAATATATGGATTTTTCTGCTGTGTGTTTAACCGGTACATTTATTTTGGTGGCACACCTACAGCTCCATTGACCCAGGGGCTAGCTCTGTTCATGAGCCAAATACTGTCATCTCCTCTGGTCAGTATACTCACCCTGAGATTCTCCATAGCCTGTCTCAGCTCCTGCAGTTTATTCTCCGTCTGCTGGATTCTCTGCTGGAATTTTCTCTGATTCTCCACCAGCTGCTTCTGTAGACAGAATACAACAAAACTCATACTGACATGCTGATTTATGAATGAGTCTTGTTTACAGACTTTGAAAAGCACTATACTCTGAACAAAACTGTATAATATGCCACATAAGTAACGCAATATTACAAACCCAGTTTGAAAAAAGTTGACAGAAGGTGAAATGCCAATCAAACCTTTAAACAACACTTAGTAAGCATTTGAAGACTGAAGGCACATATTGATCCAGTTTTGAAAGCTTATATTTTTTACCATTGCTCAGTTATACAAGTGTTCACTTGTGAAACTGTATGGGGGCCTTTGCTGTTGTATTTTGCATGTTTTGCCACATGTTTTGAATGGGAGCAGGCCAGTCTAACACCTGCACTCGATTACACAGCCATGCAGAATGTTTCTTGGTGTTGAAATAAGCATGGATGTCCCTGAAAAGACAGCATCTAAAATACAGCACATGTTGCTCCAAAAAAAAAATTTCTGTGTTAATGGTGCTTTTACAGATGTGCACCCACTAATACACCCATGGCAGGCGCTGGCTTTTTAGCTTTATGCTGGTAACAATCTGGATGGTCCTTTTCTGGTTTGGCCCAGAAGAAAAGGAGCATGGTTGACTCATCAGACCACAACACATATATTCAACGTGCATCAGTCCTTTTCAGCAGAGCTCAAGCCCAGAGAACTCGGGGGTGTTTCTGGCTTTCACTGTGCATTGTAGAGTCTTAACTTGCATTTGTAGATGCAACGACAAACTGTGTTCGACAAGGGTTTTCCCGAGCCCATGCAGTGATATCCATCAGAGCAGCGTGGCGGTTTTTAATGCAGTGCCGTCTGAGGGATTGAAAGTCAGTGGCATTGGGCATTCAGTTGTGGTTTCTCGCCTTTCTTTTACCACATAAATGAACTTTTGAACAGTGCAAGAGGGAATTATACAAAATTTACTTGACTAAACTTTAAATTCAATAGGTTTTTTAACCCAAAATCAAAAATCTCCACATAGCAATTTACAAATTATGTTACATGCATGTTACACCACTTTTAAATATCACCTTGCCAACTTACAGAAATCGAAATAAGGAACCTGGGGGGTGGAGGGTGTTTGGAGTGTTGGGCTGAGGAGCTCCGACTATTGTGGACCTATAATAAATATGATGAGTCTTACACCTGCATTACGCTTCGGTAACAGACATTTACACTGTATCTAAAGACATAACATTAAAATTAATTTTTTAAAGGGGGGGGGTTACATTGACTTAAATATGATGCACTTTCCCTTGTATAGTAAAAATAATCACAGTGTATCTATGAATGCTGAAGACTAATAATAGAACTAATAATAATAATAATAATAATAATAATAATAATGTTATTACTACTTCACAGTAGCTTGCTGGTACTGTAACTACATTCATATTTGCATAGTGATTTAAGTAGTAAAATTACTTTATTGACATTTTTGGTGTAGTTATCAACTGAAACTACAAACAGTTTCTGCCCATAAAAAGCTGGCATTCCTTGTATTCTCCTATGAAAAGTGGGGTATTTCATTTTTTCGGTTTATGTATGACCTGAAATCAAGTGGGCACGTTTTGCAATGAACTGAAATAGTCCCGCATTTACACGACAGCGACCGAACAGGCGTCTGAATGTAAGTGTTACATCATTTAAGGCGGAACGGAAAATAAGAATAAGAATCCAGCTTCGTCTAATCTCCATACACTGTACGAGTTACGAACAGCAAACCGGGGCTGTACAGCTGAACACCAAGGCCCTACACGACTACATAAACACACCTGGATGTAATGTTTATAGTTCGCTGCTGTTTGGCGTATCGTAGCAACACTGTCGGCGCTTCTCATTGGTCGTCAGTCACTCTCTGGGTTCTGAACATACAATGACAGACGGGCTGAGGGAGAACAGCGGGGTTTAACCTGTAATACTTCTCTCCCATAGGTTTACGGGACGGTTGGCAGCCCTAATATCACCTGGTCCGTATTTTACTGTGCGCTATTACAGCTGGGTGCTGCTTCACATTTATCCAACCAGCTACTGCAGGACTTTCAGTAAACTCTTACCTGTTTCTCAGATCTTTCTGCTGCAGCTGAAACTGTCTTATGACCACTGTGTTCATCCATTACACACAGCAGACAAATACACTGCTGATCAGTGCGACAGAAAACCTCTAGAAGCTTATCATGAAGAGAGCAGATCTTCTCCTGCAGATTCATGGAGGCTTCAACCAGTTTGTGCTTCTTTAATGCAGGAGATTCATAATGAGGCTGAATATGAGCTTCACAGTAAGAAGCCAGACACGCCAGACAGGACTTAACAGCTTTGAGTTTTGATCCAGTGCAGACGTCACACTCCACATCTCCAGATCCAGCAGGAGATCCAGCAGGAGGAGCAGCTTGGAGCCTCGTCTTCCTCAGACCCTCAGCTAGTTCAGCCAGCATGGTGTTCTTGTTGAGAACAGGCCTTGGAGTGAAGCTGTGTCTGCACTGGGGGCAGCTGTAGACCCCCAAATGATCACCCTGAGCCCAGCAGTCCTTAATACAGTCCAGGCAGAAGCTGTGTCCACAGGGAATAGCCACTGGATCCTTCAGTAGATCCAGACAGATCGGACAGTTTAGACAGTCCAGAGTTTTTAGAGCGGCTTCCGCCATTTTACTGCACACAGAGACGAACAGAGCGAGCAGAGAAAGAGAGACTTTACTTTCGTTTCTCCGCTGATCTGTTCATTCTGTGGGAGTGACTCTCTGTACGTGTTTGTGGAAGAAACGCCAACCCAAGTTCACTCAGTCAGTGAACCAGCACCACCTATCTGTGAGGAAGGGAAGTGCTTCAATGCAACAATGATTTTCATTGATACTGTATTCTAGGGGAGAGAGATGAGCTCAATGAGGCGATTTACTTTAAATAAATCAGGATTAACTACGTAAACGTGTCCAGTACTGCAGTGATAAAGGTCGTTTTCAGTATCTGTGCTCTATCAGCTGGTCTGTTTTTTCAGCTGCTCTGCAGTCTGATTGAGCTCTACCAGAGACTGACCAGTGAGGAGTGATCACTACTAGAGAACTTGTAGAGAGCAGAGTTTACCACTCTGTAATGTCTTCTGGGTTTCTCAAACGCCAGAGGGCGCTCCCGAGCGAGTCCAAAATGAATGGGTTGATATGGAGCCTTTGAGCAAAATCATAGTTTGATAAATACTTAAATATTTTTAATATAAAAATACATTAATTTCATGAACACAGAACAGCATAAATCATGTAAACACTGCTGTTATATTTTAAGAGCTTTTAAACTCAAGTTATAGAAGTTTAACACGGCGCCTCATGGACATCCATGACGTCAGAGAACAATGAGCTGCTCTGCTCGCCAACCAATCAGCACTCAGCAGCAGTCATGCTGCTAGTGTCCTGCTGCCTAAAACCCGTTTGCTTTTTAGTGAAATACATCCTTTCCATCTTTAGCCATTTAGCTCTATTAACCCTCATTGATTCTTTTAGCACTGGCTCACGGGCGCTCTCTGCTGTTTTGCATATTCATCATATTTTTGATATAACGGGGGGAATAGGAAGTGGCCAGGCTCCTTATATAAACCGGCTCTGTCACTACCGTGTAATGTCTTCCAGGTTTGTTAAACGCTAGAGGGCGCTCCTGAGCGATTCCAAAATGACTGGGTTAATGTGGAGCAAAATTATAGTTTATGAATGCCTAAACATTTTATATTTAAGAATGCATTATTTCTTGAACAGAACAGCAAAAACATGAGTTTTACGACTTTATAATGGCGCCTCATCTGCATTCATGACGTCTGTGAGCACAAACCGCTTCTCATGAACTGATCTGTATGCCAACCAATCAGCACTCAGCAGGAGTAATGCCAACCAATCAGCAATCAGTAGCAGTAATGTCAACCAATCAGTACTCAGTAGCAGTAATGCCAACCTGTTTGCCAATGCCAATACTGTTTTTCTCATGTACGTCCATGACGTCAGTGAACGTGAACAGCCAATGAGCTACTCCACTCGCCAACCAATCAGCACTCAGTAGCAGTCATGTGTCCTGCTGCCCAAAACCTGTTTTCTGCAATAAAAAAGGAAACATACAGGTAAGTTTGCTGTGCTTTTTAGTGAAATCCATCAGCACTAAGTAGTTGTAATGCTAACCAGTCAGCACTCAGCAGCAGTAATATTAGCACCCTACTGCCCAAAACCCATTTGCGGTAAAGAACAAGAGATATACAGTCAAGTTTTTTTCGCTTGTTTAGTGAAATACATCCTTCTACTTGCCAAAATTAAAAAGAAGAAACAAAAGGAGGAAAAGTTGAACTTGTTGCAAAAAAAAAAATAACTTGAGAAGCTACTAAAACGCACAGCCTAGTTAGCATTTACACAATAAACAAATGGCTCCCTTGCGATTTTCTTTAAAGCCCACAGGAAAACTAAGCCTGCACAAATTATTGTCTTTGAATTAAATCTGAAAGTTCTCAAACTCGACTGAGTCATCACGGTATTCCTAGGTAGTTTCCTCTGCTGTGTTCAGAGTCGCCCCCCTGTGTCTGCCGTTTTGTAGTGTTATTCAAAATCTGAGTGGTACATTTCACCACCTGTATAGTTCACTGTTGAATTAGCCATAAAGTATTATGACGTTATGTTGTCCATTTGTAAAAATAGATGCTCAAATACAAATTCAGGGAAAGGTAATTGTTCAGCTCCTTCACCCACAAAAAGCTCCTGTTTTCGGTATTTTTAACCAACTAGAGATGCAGCACTGATCTGCCCCAGGGTGGTGCAGTGGCAGACTGGTTTACCCAGTTGGTCCTGTATAGCCTAGCAACTGTAACTATGCTTAGGACACCTCTGAAAAACGATGTGCTGCAGCATATTTGTAAATCTGAAAACTCGTCCAATTTCCCAAGAGACTGGTGGAAAGAGCAAATTGTTACTCATTTCTCAAAGGAGAAGAATTCTTAAACCAACTATTTTGTTAAAGCTAGCATCAGCACTGCTATGACAAGTGAGTTGGCAGCCAGCCAATGCTGGACTAGCCAGCCAACTTGGGACCCCTCAATTACCAGGGGTTATTTTGCACACCGCCCATAATGCTTTGCAAATTTAAAGTGCATTCCTTTCCTTATGGCTTTCTGTATGTGTTTGTGCTCATGAACCAATGATAGTGATAGAAAAGAAGATATATGAGAAAGTCATGTTATGAGAATGTCTGTTATATTACTGCTGCTTGTATCTGTGTGAGAGAGAAACACTGTCAGGTCTGTGATTTTACTGAAATATGATTTACAGATGTGATAAAAAGTACATAAATTACTAGACCCCTGAATGTAAAAGTGAATAGTTGTAAACAGTCTCAGTTCATCACAAGACACACAATCTTAAACTTGCAATAACTAAATAAAGCACCATTAACAAAATAAATACTTTTTTCAGTTTTATTAAGATAATTAATGTACAGTCAATACACACTCTAAATATTGTGCTGTCATTGAAAAAAAGAGCTGGTAGAAGCCGTAATTTCTGCTCTGAAATGCTTTTTTATTATGAACAAAGGCAGAAAAGCCACTTCATAAAGCAGTAGAACAGTGGGAGAGGGTCACCTCAAGACACACCACTTCATGGTAACACACAACCTCCCCAATCAAGTCAAGTCAAGCCAAGTCAGGCTTTATTGTCAAGTACACAGTGAAACGAAACAACATTCCTCCAGGACCATGATGCAACACAGGAGCGAGACAATACAATAAACACAGTGCAGACAATACAGTACAATAAATAATATGAAAGACTTACAGTAAATACAAAACAGGACACAGGCAGTACACGGTACTGAGAGTATGTGGAGCTGTGCAAAGGAGGATGTAACATACTATGACATATTAGCAGCTTAGCAGATAGCCTAGCATATATGAGCATAGCAGTCACTGAGGTAGCAACCAGAACAGTAATATATAGGATTCAGTATTTGGTTACAGTAGTTCTAGCAACTAACTTTGTTAAAGTGAAGTAAAATGTGCAAAAATGCAAGTATTCAGATCTACAGTCATATCAAGTGAAGTGTTTCAGTGAAATGCAGTAACTATATTTAAATACAGTGTTCCATAAATTAGAACTATAAGAAGTGGGGAGTGAGTTAGTCCCATATTGTTATGTATATGTATGTGTGGGTCCATCGGAGTTGAGGAATCTGAATCAACACACAGCTCACAATAAACAACAACTTAACCACAACTTAAACAACAATAACCGTCCTTTTTCAGGGCATGTCCGAAGAGACTCTTCAAATACAATCTACATAGCAGAGCTTCTACACTCATTAGCTTCATAGCCCCCCCTTAAAAGTCAGCAGTCTAGGTGAACCACATTAAGAAGAAGAAGAAGAAGAACAACAACAACAACAACACTTGTTTGTTCTTATAAGAAGAACCTTACAGTAATCAATTATGCTTGTAACACATGAACAAGTTACTCTGTGTCGCTCTGAGATAGAAAATGCTGAACTTTAGTGATATTTCTCAAATGATAAAAAGCTACTTTAGTGACTGCATTTACATGTGGGTTAAAGCGAAGCTCCAAATCTAAGATTACACCCAGGTTTCATACTTCAGGTTTAGATTACGTAGCTAAAGAACCAAGCTTCTCACAAAGTAGCTTACTCTGAGTTTTATTACCAAATGTCAGTATGTCAGTTTTTTTGGATTTAGTTGTTAGAAATTCTGTGACTTCCACTGAGAAATGTCTGACAGACAGCCAGTCAGTCTGTCTACAGAGTCTTAATCATCAGAAAGAATCCAAATGTATAATTGTGTGTCATCAGCATAGCTAAGAAAATTTACATTATGTTATACATGTATACATACATATGTACAGAGAGAAGAGCAAGGGCCCTAAAACTGAACCCTGTGGGACTCCACAAAAAATGTTAAATCACTTCGATGGATGATTTCCAAGTGAAACCAAGACTTGTCTCTACATTAAATATGATTTGAACCACTCTAAAACTAAGAGGCCAACCCAATATTTAAGGCGGTGTATTAGAGTCTTGTGATCAACAGTATCAAACGATGCACTAAGATCCAATAAGGCCAAAAAAGGATTTTGTGAATCAGCACTGAGCCTGAGGTCATTTACAACATGAACCAAGGCTGTCTCAGCACTATAGTTAGAACGAAAACCTGACTGAAACTTGTAAAAGTGGAAAAGTAACTTTTTCTAAGACTTTACCTAAAAAAGAACGATTAGGAATTGTTCTAAAATTATTTAGCATGGAAGGATGCATGCTATTCTTTTTTTAGGGGTTTCACCAGCCATCCTAAGGAATGAAGCAGGTTCACATGTGGACAAACTTAATTTGCCCTAAAAAAGTCTTTTAAGGTCTCCCCACATCCCCACAGCAGGGGTCTCAGAGGGTCCACTCTCCTGATCAACACAAGCCATGGGTTGGGGCGGTGGGGTCACACCGTAGCGTGTCTGCTACAGTTTCCCTTTGGAGTCCTAAAACCACGTCTTCAGCAGGTTTAAGATAAACCCCAGTTAACCCTGATCTACAGCACCATCTAGTGGCAGATGTGGGATTTTTAAATGACACAGCAATTAGGTTTAGTTTAAACCACAGGTGTGTTTTAAAATGCAGCTTTCAAGGACAAAGCAATGGAGTACAAGAACCCACGTGACTCATTCAGGTTTAAACTCTGGTTAAAC